CTGTCTTTTTATCCAATCTGCAACCCTGTGCCTTTTTATGGGAGCACTTAGGCCATTCACATTGAGAGAGATTATTGAAAGATATGAATTAATTGTCATCATGCTGCCTGTGAAGACATTGTTTTTATAGATTGTCCCTGTAAATTTCTGTTGTATATCACTCTTGGGGGCTTTCTCCTTCTATAGACCCCCCTTAATATTTCTTGCAGTGCCGGTTTAGTGGTCACATATTCTTTCAGTTTCTGCTGGTCGTGGAAGCTCTGCATCTCTCCATCCATTCTAAATGAAAGCCTTGCCAGATAAAGTATTCTCGGCTGCATGTTCTTCTCATTTAGTATCCTGAATATGTCTTGCCAGGCCTTTCTGGCTTGCCAGGTCTCTGTGGATAGGTCTGACTTATTCTGATGTTCCTCCCTTTGTACGTAAGGAATCTCTTCCCCCTACCTGCCCTTAAGATGGTTTCCTTGGTTCTAAGATTTGCAAGTTTTACTACTACATGCTGGGGTGTTGGCCTGTTTTCCTTGATCTTAGCAGGGGTCCTCTCTGCCTCTAGGACGCGAATGTTTGTTTCATTCCCCAGATTAGGGAAGTTCTCAGCTACGATTTGCTCAAATACATCTTCTAGTCCACTCTCTCTCTCCACTCCCTCCAGGATTCCAATTATTCTGATATCACTTATTTCTCTGATTCTATTTTCGTGGATTCTGAGTTGTTTTTCCCTGGCCTCCTCTTTTCCCTTTTTATCTATTATATTGTCTTCCAGGTCACTTATTCGTTCTTCTGCCTCACTTACCCTAGCTGTTAGATTATCTAGATTGGATTGGATCTCATTGATAGCACTTTTAAGTTCTGCCAATTCAGCTTTCATTTCTGCGCTTAGAGACTCTATGTTGCCATTAATTGATTTCTCCATTCTAGCCATTTCTTCACAATTGCTAGCCTGGTTATATCTGCATCCATTTGTAAATCTGCAGCATAAGTCAATCCCTGAGTCTTTTCTATTTTGGGGGCTCCTCCTCCTAGTCATTCTGTTGATGGGTGTTTGAGGGTATGTATAGCATCCAAATTATTGACCAGAACCCAAGCAAGATGCACCTGTTTTCTTGGGACCTTAGGATTGCTGGCCTCTTGTTTTCCCAGCCTGTCTTCTGGGGGAGGGGCCTCCTGGCCTGTTACTCAGGCAACCCTGTTTGGGCGGAGTTGCCCTGCCCCCTGTGGCGGGGGATGGGCTCAGCGGGAATCAGTTTTGGGGGCTTTTGTTCTCTGGGGGCTTTCCCTGGAGGCTTTCCGCATCTCTTCCTTGAGTCAGAGCGGAAGAGACCGTTTCCAACCCCTCTGCCTCAGAGCTGAGACACCACAGTCTGTTCTTTAGTGAGCTCTCCAGGCCACACTCTCTCCATTTCTGTCCGTGCTGCTACAACCTACAGTGTCCTGGGTTGTGCGCCCCTCCGCAGTGCCCCCAGTCCTGCCTCCAGGTCGGAGCACGTCTCTGCCCTTTGTGCTTCTAAAACCTCCAGCCGCCCCCAGATTGCACCCACCCCCTGCCGCTCCGGGTTTCTGCGCTGGGGGCTGCCCTAAAGTCCTTCCCCTGCCACTACCGGTCTGCGGGTCTGTGCCCCGTCCCCAGCGCCCGAGACTGTCGCTCACCGGCGGTGTAGGATCCCCACGCCAGGCTTCCTCCCGCTGCCGTTTATCCTCCGAAATCTGCCTGAGGAATCAAGGCTCCCCGCTTCGTACCTCAAAACCAACCGCCTGCAATATCCTGTTTGTAGAGATCCAGATCTTCTTACATCTCAGGCTGGTTTCGTGGGTGCTCAGAGTGGTCTCAATTTCTGCACATCTTTGCCAACACTACCTTTTCTCTTTCTTTCTTTCTTTCTTTCTTTCTTTCTTTCTTTCTTTCTTTCTTTCTTTCTTTCTTTTTCTTTCTATAATAGCCTAATAGCTGTCTAATAGATGTGCATGCTACTGTATTTAATAGCATCTGGCTTTGCTCTTTATCTGGAATCTGTCTTTGGTCCTAAGGCAACTAGCCTACATGCCTACTCTGAACACCCACCCACTTCCTGAGATCTGGACCCTCCATCTCCATCCCCAGAAGTTGTCTTAGAGGCCAGCCCAGGCCTGACTCAGGCATGGCCTCCTTTTTCCTTCCCCTGCTACAGCACCGGTCCCTTTCCTGGTGCCGTTCACCCTCAACTTCACCATAACCAACCTGCACTACGAACAGGACATGCAGCGTCCAGACTCTTGGAAATTCACCTCCACAGAGAGGATCCTGCAGGGTCTGGTGAGAGCCCCATCCACCGGTGCCAGCCCCACCCACCTCACTTCTGCCCCTGCCCATATCACCTCTGCCCCATTCACTTCACCAATACCCCAGCTCCCCCGGCCTCCCTCAGGGGTTCCTGCTCACCTCCCCTCTCCTTTCTCATAGCTCAAACCCCTGTTCAAGAATAGCAGTCTGGGATCCCTCTATTCAGGCTGCAGACTAGCCTCGCTCAGGTGAGACTCTCCCCAAGAACACAGCCCAACAGGTATATGGGACCCTCATCTACGGGCTCCCTGACTTTGTCTATCCTTGGGACAGCTACCACCACGGATACTGCACATCATTATCAACAATAACAACCCCAGCAGCTAGCAATTCCTGAGATCCAAGGCAATGTGCCTAGTACCTTACATTTCATCCTATCAGCCCTCACAACAGCCTCAAGAAGCAGGAACCGAAGGTGCGACAGGCTCAGAGGGATTGAGTAGCTTGTGCAGATCACACAGAGCAACACTGCATTGTGGGTTCTAGAGCCAAACTCCTAGCTCTCAAGCTGCGCTGCCTCCCCTGCCTCATTATGACCTTGCAGCATGTGGAAATTACCGATCTGGCACCCTCTAAGAGGGGAGAAGCTAAGAGGGAAGGAAAGCAGGCACACTGTTACACAGAGAATCCTAAATGGGTCCGACTCATGGAAGGAGGCCTGACCTGCCCTGGGATGGCTGGGGGTTGGGGAGGACGCCATCCCTTGGGTGCAACTGTGGTGCGGGGGCAGGTCGTTGACACTGCTCCACACCTGGCATTCTCACCTCCCACATCTTTCAGAATCTCTAGGTCTGGTTCTCCTCACATTCCCATTTTATCACAGGTATCTACCTCCAGCTCCCCTTGCTTCCGGAGGAAGAGCCGTTGTAGGAGCTTAGTGGCTAAGAGCCTTGGGGAAGCCAGAGCAGAGTTCAAATGCTAGCTCTACCATTTACTGAGATCCTGGCAGGTGCCTGAACCTTGCTGTGCCCCGTTACTCCATGTGTTATATATGATATATTAGGTCCATATGTAATATATGTACACTAACATATATGTGTATATGGAGAGAGAGATTTGACCCTTGGATGGTGTGGGTTTGAACTGCACTGCGTGGGTCCACGTATACACGGATTTTGTTTTGCTCAATACGGTACAGTGCTATAAATGTATTTTCTCTTATGATTCTCTTAACATCTTTTCTCTAGATTAGTTTATTATAAGAATGCAGTATATAATGCCTATACCCTAAAATATGTTAATTGACTGTGTTATCAGTAAGGCTTCTGGTCAACAACAGTCTATTAGTAGTTAAGTTTTGGGGGAGTCAAAAGTTATAAGCAGATTTTCAACTGTGTTGGGTGTCCGTACCCCTAACCTCCATGTTGTTCAAAAGTCAACTCTGTATATACAAATATACACGCACATAGAGAGAGAGAGAGAGGAAAAGAATAGGTATAATTCTATAGTATATCTGTTATATCTATTCCTAATATATTTTATTATACCTATATATGTAATATATATAACTATAATATATATACCTATATATAATATGTATATTATGTATATATGTATAATAAGTATAATATATAATTATACCTATACTTTATACATAGATATATATTACATATATGTTCTATATAGACATAATAGGTATAATATGTTATATATAGGTATAATATCTAATATATATGATGTATATAGGTATAATTCCTAATATGTATTATATAATATATATATTACCTAAGTATAGATAATATGAGATATAGGTATAATATATAATTATGCCTGTACCTTATATACGGATTTATGTTATATATGTTATATATAGATATAATAGGTATATTATGTATAGGTCATATCTTTTATATATAGTGTATATAGATATAATCCTTAATATATATTATCTATTATATATATTTAGTATAGGTACAAAATATAATACAATAATAAATAAAATATAAAATAAATATGTAACAAATATATGTTATACACTTACATGTTAAATAGATCATTATATTATATTTATATTATGTATAATTGCATTGCATATGATATAGAGTGTGATGGGTATAATAACAACTGTGGGAGTTGAGCAATACAGCCTGTGGGGACGCTCTGAGGGTTAAGTGATACGATCATGAGTGCAAAGTGCTGGGCCTGCTTCGTACTCAGAATTTAACAAGAGGTGATTGTTATTATAAGAGACACTCCCTCCACGGCCCTGGAGTGTGGGAGCAGCTTTCTATCCACATCTCTCAGTAGTGTATGGCTGGGTGGGCAGGTAGGTGGGTCAGTGTCTTGAGGCTGGAGGTGATGCTGAAACACGGACAGGTCACACTTTCAGACAGACCCACCCAAAGGGCATGTGTGCCTCTCTGGCCATTTAGTCTCTTGAGTCTTTAGAAATGCCCCAGCCCTGCATCCAGACTGAGTGACATTAGCTTTTTGATCTCACTATTTGAAAACCCCAACTCTCTGCAGGAAAATGTCACCAAACCATGCTGTGGTCACTGTTCCGGGGCCACCGCCACCCATTGCAGCATGACCCCAGGCACCTTGTTGTGCCCATCAAGACCTGTGACAGGATGTGGCTGTTATGGCTTCATCTGGCACCTTCCAGGATTGCTCACCCCATCAACAGTATCCTCTGTGTACCTGCCACACACCCGGGGCTTTCAGAGGCTACCCTCCCAGGCAGGCAGGAGGCTTCAGGCCTGTGGTGTGCTAGTTGTTTATGGAGGGCATCTCCCTGATGGCGGCAGCTTCTGTTAACTCGGGTTTCCCAAGTTTCTGCCTTAGGGGCTGGCAAGGAGAGAGAGGGAAGGATCAACAGAGAGAGAGAGATAGACTATGTGGTGATTCTTACCCAGGCCTGAGAAGGATGGGGCAGCCACCAGAGTGGATGCCATGTGTATGCATCGCCCCGACCCTGAAGGCCCTGGACTGGACAGAGAGCAGCTGTACTGGGAGCTGAGCCAGCTGACCCATGGCATTGCCCTGCTGGGCCACTACACCCTGGACAGGAACAGTCTCTGTGTCAATGGTGAGCAACCGTGATGTGGTCAGAGTCTTTTCCCCTCACCGGGCAGCCTCTGCCCTCTGGCTTGAGAATGCACGCCCTGTCCGGCCCTTAGGGGCTTGGCCCTGTGCACTGGATGTGCTGATTCGTGGTCTCCTCTTCATCTTGGACTGACTTCACCCTCAGAGCCTTCCTTCCTAATGGGGGCTGATGGAGAACCCCCTCCACTGCACCGGTGTAGCCCTGCCTCCTGTTTGGTCTTCTGCCTCTCCCTAACCCTTACCCACAATCTTCCCTCCCTCTCCCTACAGGTTTCACCCATCAGAGCTCTGCACCCATCACCAACAGTGAGTATTCAACTATGACCCAGGGCCCCTCAACACACAGGGCAGACAAAGCGCTGATGCCTCCTCATGCCTGCTTATGTCGTCTCCAGGAGGGATGGATCTCCTGGAGACCACAAGTTATTTACTCTCTTCTCTGCCCCAGTTCCAGAGGGAATCTCAGCTCAAGTCCCATATGCAGCAAGCCTAATAAATAGTCTGTCTTGTTGGCATTTCTGCTATGTGATTTTCTTTCTGCTTTCACTGATGAGAGCTTTTCCTCAGCTCCAGGGACCTCCACAGTGCACCTGGGAACCTCTGGGATTCCATCCTCCTTCCCCAGCCCCAGCCCCACAGGTAAGTACCAGTCAATGGCACATCTGTTACAGAGGGCCTGATGAGTGTAAACACATTTGACATTATTCACTCAAATAAAGATGGAAAGTCGTAGTAATACTAGTGATGATGAGTCAGTCAACAACCTTTATTGAGCACCTACTCTGTGCCAGGCCCTGGGGAATATAGCAGGGAACACAAAACAAAAAAAATCATTGCCTTCACAAAGCTTATGTTCTTATGATAATGGTGATGATGGTGATGTTGATGATGATGATGATGGTAATGGTGATGATGATGATGGTGATGGTGATGATGGTGGTGGTGATGGTGACAATGATGGTGATGATGACAATGGTGTTGGTAATGGTGATGGTGGTGGTGATGATGATGGTGATGGTGGTGGTGGTGATGATGGTGGTGGTGGTGATGGTGGTGTTGATGGTGACAGTGATGGTGATGGTGATGATGGTGGTGATGCTGCTGCTGATGGTGGTGATGGTGACGATGATGATGGTGATAATGGTGATGGTGGTGGTGATGATGATGGTGGTGGTGGTGATGATGATGGTGATGGTGGTGGTGATGGTGACAATGATGGTGATGGTGATGGTGGTGATGATGGTGATGGTGATGATGGTGGTGATGATGGTGGTGGTGATGATGCTGGTGATGGTGGTGGTGGTAATGATGGTGATGATGATGGTGATGATGGAGGTGATGACAATGATAATGGTGGTGATGGTGGTGGTAATAATGGTGGTGATGGTGATAACGATGATGATGATGGTGATGGTGATGATGATGATGGTGATGTTAGGTCATTTATGCATGGTAAGTGTAAATCCACAGGAAGTATGTGGATTTTTCTCAGGATAAGAAGGAATGAAATATACTTTCTTGTAATGTGTAGAAATGCTCCCTTCTTATCCTTGTTCAAATCTTTAAGGACTGTCACATTCTGTCTAGGACAAACATATGACATCTGTGCCATCACTCCCCAATCCCTCATCCATGGCAGACATCACTAAATGGTAACAGCCTCCACTCTTTCTGAGTTCAAAACAGCTCCAGAATCCTTACTGACAAAATACCCTAGGCAGTCGCTACCAATTCAGTTGAAGTTGCCATGGGATTGTGGGACAGAATTCAAGGAAATTAGGTTCCTTGATGTGTGGAAGGCTCTTTGGTTTTCCTGGAAGACATTCGTGAGTTGGAAGACTCTGCTCAAGCTCAGGTGGGTCATGACTGAGAACAGGCTTGATCCAAGCCTGTTCACACCTCCTCCTGACCCGTGTCCAGGAAAAGTTAGCGGCAAGTTTGGCCTGCACCTTTGGTTTTTCCTGCAGGAGGAGGTGTACATTCACAGCTCACGGGGGTTCATTGAGGGATCAGACACTTGGAGAAGGGGGTGCGCAGGTGGCAGAGGGATAGTCTGCAGATGACCTGATACAGAAATTCCTCCCTGGGTTTCGGTGGCATTTTCTGGAGTTTGTCTACGGTGTCTGCACTTTGAGGGTGCTCTCTAAATGCTACTTACATAAATAGATTCATAGACACCCAAAGAACCCCAGATTCTTGCCATTTCCTCCCTCCCCCCATCCTTACAACTCTTAATACTTTCTCTTCCTGTCCTTCTGCAGGTTACACACATCAGGTCCTGACCTCCACCCCCAGCAGTGAGTAGTAATTTGGGTCCTAACGTTGCTCTGCCTTGGGGCCCATCTCTCCTCCTCACTGTGTCTACCCCACGTCCCCAGGGACACAAGGGGCCTGGAAAGCTCCAGTCTTTCCCCACCTTCACTTCTGGGATCAGAAAAGACAAGCCTGGCACAGGCCTGAGGAGTGTCTCATGGACCAGTGATGGGCCCCGTTTGTCTGGGAAGGACTTCCTTCCTGCCATATGTGCCTCACTGTGTTTTCTTCTCTGTTGCACCAGCCTCTACCATCTCCCCAGCGACCTCAGCGACCCCCATCCCTACCTCCACAGGTAAGAGATTCCTCTCTGCCATTCCTCCCCTGCAAATGTCTTGTGCACTTGGCCAGTGGGAGGTATCACATGGAGCACCATGCCCACTCATTCATTCATTCATTCACTCAAAAAGGATACATTTAGCCCTTAATGGATGAAAGGCCCTGGTAATGCAGCAGTGAACAGAATAGAAAGGGCCCTAGTCTTTGATGGGCTTCCAGCAAGAAAGAGAATAAGGACTCGAGTGTACAAATAAATTTTGAATTACAATCAGCATGGTTGTGGGGTGAGTTCTGCAGGTGTAGGGGGGCCTCTCTCTCTTGAGTACTTGGTTTTCATTTCCAAGAAAGAAGGGAGCAATATGAGCTACATGTGTACCTGAAAAATGCCCTCGTACAGGTCCTGGTTAGGGATTTGGGCAGACTCTGGTTGGGCCAAGGGCTAACTTACCATTCTTGGCATCTCAGTGGCCCAAGATAAATTTTGATACCACCCACTGACCCTGATAAGGGTCCTGGATGGCCCATCATTACTAACACTGTCTTACTTGAGTCTCTAGTTACTCACCAGCTAGGACCTTCTGAAGGTGTTCTGACCACTGACCACTCAGGCCAGAGTGAGCAGGTCACTGTATGGACCTGCCCTTGGTGCTAAGGTGGATGGGTTAGGAGCACAGACTCTGTGACCACAGTGCCCAGGTTTGAACTATGCTCTGCCATTTATAGATTGTGTGACTGCAGGCAAATTATTTAACCATGCTTGGGCTCAGTTTTTACATCTGTAAAATGGGGATAAGAATACTATCTCCCTCTGAAAGTTTTGCCTCAAGGCTTAAATGGGTTAAAATTTAAGTGAAGCACTTAAAACAGGGCCTGACCCATACAAATGCAATGTGTTTCTTCAAATAAATCTTTAAAAATCAATAAATAATTGGATCTCACAGAAATAATTTGGGTTAAAAAAAAAAACCTGGAGAAAAAGGGGATGTCTGTCTGGAATTTTAGCCAACTGGAGGGTCAGAATGTTTGCTTTCTGTGTGATGATGCATTTACCTCCATAGTGTAATTTTCCACACTTATCCCCAGAGTCCCTCACTTAATGCTACTGTCTGGGATCTCCTTCCTGTTGAAACTGCCCATCTTGGAGGAAGCCCCTCCCCAGTGCTTGAAGAGAAAATTTGTGGGATGACCCACACTTAGGCTCACTGGCGTCTCCCTCCTGCCCCCACTGCAGCCACTGGTCCTGCCCTGGTGCTGTTTACCCTCAACTTCACCATCACTAACCTGCACCACCAGGAGGGTATGAGTCACCCTGGTTCCTGGAGGTTCAACACCACCCAGAGAAACTTGCAGCGCCTGGTGAGAGCCCCACCCTCAGCACTCCTGCCTCATCCACCAACACAGGCACCACCTACCTGTTCTCTGCCCTGCCCACAGAGACCCCACCTACCTCACCTGTGCCTTCCCCCATGCAAGCCCCACCCACTAGCGCCAGCCCCACCCATCTCATTTCTACCCGGTTCTCCACCCCTCAGACTTTCTACTCACCTCCCTCTCCTTTACAGCTAGGACCCTTGTTCAAGAACACCAGTGTGGGCCCCCTGTACTCAGGCTGCAGACTGACCTTGCTCAGGTGAGTCCTTGCAATCCACGGCCAGGGCTGCCTCAAGGGCTCCCAGACCCCAGGAGTTCCCTCTGCTTCCTTCCTGCCTTCTCTGTCCATGTCCTCAGCAGAAGTGGAATTCGGGAGGCTCTGGCTTTTCTGATTGTAACCACCCCCCACCCCTCCAACTGTCCCCAGATTCTGCAGAGCCCCTCAGCAGGATGGAGACCCTAGTCTGGTTATCCTTCTGAATTCCCTTCTGTCTCCCCTTGACCAAAGAGGGCATTTCCTTTAGGTTTTCAGTTCTGTCCCCAGGATGGAACTCTTAAGACAAGCATGTCTTTTCCACTTGCTTTAATCCAAAATTCTAGCTCTTCACCTGTCTCAAGTAGGAGCTCTCCTGTCCCCATGCCAGGAGCTTGCAGGTTTCAGACTTGCAATTTAATACAAATCCTCCTACCCATTGACTGTGTGCACAGCCCCAGGCTGGCCAGAGGTGGGTGTCATCCTTCTCACTTGCTCTGGCCCCTTCCTGTCCTGCCCTAGGGGTCCCTGGAGCCCTGCCTGGGGACTCCATCTATTGTTACCCCTACCCACCCACCCCCAGGCCTGAGAAGGATGGGGCTGCCACTGGAGTGGATGCCATCTGTACCCACCGCCCTGACCCCGTGGGCCCTGGGCTGGACAGAGAGCAGCTGTACCGGGAGTTGAGCCAGCTGACCAGTGGCATCACCCGGCTGGGTCCCTACACCCTGGACCCGGACAGTCTCTACATCAATGGTGAGGGATTGCCATGTGCATCCACATTTCAACAGGCCCCACGTCTTCCTCTCCATCCCTCCCTTTCACTCATTACTCATCCTCCTCACCCTTTCTCCCTCTACCTGTGCAGGTTACACTCGCCAGACCCGGGCCACCACCCCCAGCAGTGAGTATTCAGAGGCTTCAGAAGTCTCTGCAACCCTGTGAGTCCCTCTGCAACCTTAGAATGGAAGCGGCCAGGAGCCCACTGCCTGCCCTCTGCACCCCTGCTCCACCCCCAGCCTCAGGGGAACGGGGACCTATACCCATTAAAGCCCCAGACCTAGGCGCTGGTCCCTGGCATCTGCAGGATGACAAGGTCCCCACCCCGAGCACTGGTTTGCTCCCAGCTTCTGGGATGACAGAGTGTACCTCAATGGTGAGGGCCGTGTTGGGCTGTGGGTCTCCTCCGCACGGAGGGGGCTCTGCTGCATCAGGATTCTGCATGAGTTCAGACCTCCATTGGGGGTTCACATTTCCAAGTGCTTTGAGCAGGTCCTTTGTCTGTCTGGAGATGGGGGGAGGGCAAGTAGACTTTGATCCCTCCCAGTGCTTAATCATCTTCCTTTTAAAGAATCCCAGCTGTGATGGTCCAGTGCCATCTCTCGAGCAGCCAAGTTGCCTCTTCACTGAGGACCTCTCCCTTCCCCTCCTCACTGTTGCTCCCTCTCTTCGCAGGTTACACCTATCCAGCTTCAGCCACCACCCCCAACAGTGAGTATTTCAGACCCGTGTGTGCCTGGGACCACCACCTTTTCCCTAAAGATAGGAGCTGCTCAACCAGCCAGGCCTTCCCTCCCGGTCCCCCTTTCTGGATGGGAAGGAGTCCAGAGGATGTGCATGGAAGTGTGGGCTGAGCTGGAGGTGACAGGAGCCACCCCTCCCCACAACACAGCCGAGGACGATGCTCTGACCCCAGGCTACATGGGACACAGAGACAGGCACACAGTTTATAACTAGAGCTACCACCACTGCTGCGCTTCCCTTACAGGTGTAACATGCCTTTGATTTCATCCCTTGTGTTCTTTTCCCTCTGCTACTGTGACCTCTGCATCCTTCCCCATGTCCTCTCTGGCTCCATCCCTCAAGCCCACAAGTAGGAAGGTCCTACCAGTACCAAAATCATTTCTACAAAATCATTCATTCAAGATCACTTCTTCCCTCATTATTGCTTACTTAGCTTCCCCAAGGAAAATCATGCATTTCTGTGGGTTCCAGGGACCATCTAGCTGCTCAGGGTCCAGCTGTTCAGAATCCTAATCCTGAGTCCAGCCCACTCCACACAGTAGCTCTTGGCCCTTGGTCCACCCACCTCCTTGACATCACCCAACCCCTTGGTCTCTGACCCTGAAGTCACCATCTTCTCCCAAACTCACTCCTTTCCCTTATCACCAAAGGCAAGGACACAGGTGCCAAACTTGACCCTCCCTCTCACTCACCTCCCACATTAATCCATCACCAAATCATTTCTTCTCCCTTCATAATATCTTGTAAGTCCTTTCTCTGTCTCTGTGTCATTCAACCTTTATTCAGGCCACTGGCATTTTTTGCTAGGACTGGTGCAGTAGCCTCTACTCTGGTCTCCTACAGTCCTCTGCACAGCAGCCTCCAACAGCCCTCCCAATGTACCTCTGTTTGCATAATTCCTGTCTTGTTGACAGTCTTTGGATGACTCCACCTTATCTACAAGTCATGTCCAAACCCCTGAGCTGTATAGTTACTGCCCCCCTTTCAGGGCTCAGAGGGCCCCTCCAGTCTCATGTCCATACTTCCACAAGGCGATAATGAAAACATTCAAGCCCCTTGAGTGCAACTGCTCTGTCCTGTCAGGCTCATACTCAGACCGATTCTTCTGCTTGAGCACTCTTCCACTTGCTCAGCCCCTGTTCACCTAACTCTTACTCATGCTTTTGGTCACACCTGAAATGATGCTTCCTCCTGGAAGCTGTCCTCAGTCATTGGTTGGGTGCCTCCCTGGAACTGCACAGCCTCCCGGCTCCTCTGCAGCATAGCAGTCTGACTACTCTCCTGGCCACAGTATTAGGAGACTATGCCCTATTCACCCTCGGACCCACAAAGCCCAGCACAGAGCCTCGCACACACTAGATGCCCAATATACACTGGCTGAATGAATGAGCAAAAGTTCCCAATGTCTCAAAAATCCCATAACATTCCCTCCTTCAGCTTCTGCAGTCCGTGGCTGTACTTAGGCCCATTGCTGGGTGCTCCACTGTTAGAGCTCCAGGCAACCTTGGTCCTTACTATGATCCGGACATTTTTCTCTTCCTCCCCCACTACAGCCACTGGCCCCATTCTGGTGTCCTTCACCCTGAACTTCACTATCACCAACCTGCACTACACTGAAGACATAGGGCACCCATCTTCTTCCAAGTTCAACTCCACTGAGAGGATCCTCCAGCACCGGGTGAGAGCCCCTCACTGACCACCATCAGCCTCACCACACACCTGCTTGTGTAGTCCTTCAGCCCTTCTGCTTACCCCTCTCTC